TAATGTTTTGACAGCTGAGTGGTATCCTAGCATGGGAGTATTTCTGGGAGATTGTCTAGCTCTTCTTGTGTAAATATTTTGTTTGCACAGCTTAACTGAGGTGAGGTAGTGTACGAGGCTGCTCATTTTTTCTAGGTACCAATTGGCAGGCTGCTTTAAGGCACCTACTATGTGTAGCATGGTACCACCACTGAAGGGTATGTTGGTACGGGAGGGTGGGCCCAGCTGGTGCCTAACTCAAATGTGAGATGTCAACAATGGGCGTAGAGGTGACTGTTTGTGGACATGAACATGGAAGGGGAGAATTCCAAAAACACCACTGAGAAAGAATCGTTGGCAAGCTTTGTGGGAAATTGCATACAGATGATAAACGATCGGAAATTGAAATAAGCTGTCCGGATCACAAGTCTCAGAAGCTGGGGTGTATGTGTTTGGGGGAAGGGATGATTCCAGTTAGAAAAGCAACAGGGTTTTTGTTTGTTTGTTTTTTTTTATTTAAAAAAAAAATTTTTTTTTTCAACGTTTATTTATTTTTGGGACAGAGAGAGACAGAGCACGAACGGGGGAGGGGCAGAGAGAGAGGGAGACCCAGAATCAGAAACAGGCTCCAGGCTCTGAGCCATCAGCCCAGAGCCCGACGCGGGGCTCGAACTCACGGACCGCGAGATCGTGACCTGGCTGAAGTCGGACGCTTAACCGGCTGCGCCACCCAGGCGCCCCTTTTTTTTTTTTTTTTAATTTTTTTTTTTTTAATTTTTTTTTTTTTTTGAAAAGCAACAGGGTTTTGAACAATGACAATGCATAGCAAGATTCACGTTATATGAATATCTGAGCATTTGTTCCTCTTTAGTTTACTCCTGGATCCAGGCAGGAGTTTTACCTCTTCTCTCTGATCTTGGAATCCTTTTGCTCTATAATCTAGCTTTCATTCCTGTCAGATAGAAACTCCCATTCTCTTGCCTCTCCGCATGGCTACTTCCTGCCCTGAACCCCAGCTCCTGGCTTTCCCGGCCCTCCCCTTCCCTGCCCAGTTACCCCACACCCCCCCCAGGTAAAGTTGGGGCAATGCCCCGCTGCACCAGCTCTAACCCACACTGTGGCTTCTTGGCTGGCAAAGCCCCCAGGTCCTTACTGCCTCCCTGCTGCCTTGGGGTCCAGCTCAAGTTCTGCTTTTTCCATGAAACCTTTCTACATTTCTTTCTTCCTTTTCAGAAGAGCTGTTGTATACGGAGTGCATATGTGGATTTTTTTTACTGAACCAAAGTCATATGGTGTTGAAATTACCTAAAATTAAAAAAAATACATACAGTCTGAATCTATTTATCTCTCTTTCGTAAATAAGTTATTCACGTTCCGGATGATGTATGTGGGAAGACTTTGTGTTTAAATTAATGAGGGCAAAAGTAGTAAATCCTTTGAAAATATCCCATGTGGTTGTTATGTCATTGATGTTTAAGGGAGTTTCTCACCAAGGTTCAGAAATGTTTGCACTTGGGTGGTTCAGTCGGTTAAGTGTCCGAGTCTTGATTTTGGCTCAGGTCATGATCGCACAGTTCGTGGGATCGAGCCCTGCATCAGGCTCCGCACTGTGGCATAGCCATCAGGCATGACAGTGTAGGAGCTGGCCAAAGGCACCATCAGACCAGGTGCTCTCCACTAGTTACCTGGGCGTCGGGTGCCCTCCAAGCCCCTTCATGAAACTGGTCAGTGTGGCTTACACAAACTGCTCATTGGAAACACAGCCGTTTGCTTGGTATTTTATATTCATTTGGTATTTTATATTTTAGTATCAGGGGTAAATCTGACCAAAACGTTATTTGTTTTCAAAGCCAAGTTTCTTCACAGGCTTGTCAGCAAAGCTTCAGAGTTCAAGGTTGCTGCATAGAGGTGAAATCAACTGTGGGCCTTTGACACCTTGAATTGGACTTAGGTAATCAGTGGGGGTGGGGGGACATTAGGACAACTCATGCGTAAGGGAGAGCGGGACAGCCTGTGCGCCAGGGAGGTTTTAATTTGAGTTTATGATGGCAAATTAGGGATACAAAGTCCCCATAGATTCAGTTTTCTAAGTATTAGATCTTGGCCAAGGTCTGCCAGTTCTCTCTAAAGGGAGCAGATTGAAACCACTATTTTAACTCTCGGTTCAAGTGCTATTTCTTTTAGTACATTTAGTACAAAATCAGGTAACATTTAGTACAAAAGGGATATCTTTCGACTGACTCAGCACTATTAAGGCCTTGCATTTTATCTTTTTACATAAGAAGATCATATATTGGGTCGCCTGGGTGGCTCAGTCAGTTAAGCGTCCGACTTTGGCTCAGGTCATGATCTCACGGTTTGTGGGTTTGAGCCCCACGTTGGGCTGTGTGCTGACGATTCAGAGCCTAAAGCCTGCTTCGGATTCTGTATCTCTGTCTCTCTCTCTCTCTCTCTGCCCCTCCCCCATTCACCCTCTGTCTCTGTCTCTCTCAAAATAATAAATAAACATTAAAATTAAAAAAAAAAAAGAAGAGCACGTATTACGTACATAGAAGGTGCTTAAGGAATATTTTATCGAAGTCTTATCGTGCACCAGCTCTGTGCTCAATACTCATCCTAACGCAATGGCCACATCTCTTTCTCACAATGATGCTTACTTAACCTGCTTTACAGATGAGGGAGGTTAGGGAGCCTGCCCCACGGTGGACAGTGGATTAGAGGTCACACAGGACTCCAGCCCTGAAGCCCACGCTCTCATCCACGGTGTTCTGTGTGCTGCTTGTTAACTAACCTCTGTCTGCTGAAAGAATATAAGGTGGCCTAGATTTCGTGGGGATGTCATACGAGACTCACACATAAGATGGGGACTGAACTCCGTGCTTCCAGATCCTTCCCTCACTCTGAATTTGTGTCCAGGCTACAGAAGCCTCCTGCATATGTTTCTGGAAACACCACTTCTCTGTGTAGGACATGCCCCTCCACTCCATGCTTTGAGTCATTCTGGAATTCAGAGGGCAGTTGGGCTTTGCTCTCTGACTTACTGCCAGCTCTAGGACCCTGTTGAGTACTTGCTACTTAAACCCCATCTCGCTCTTAAAGCAGAGTTGGAACGTAATGGCTATACCTCTAGCTGCTAGGCTAACCTAGGTCTACAGTTCACATTAAACATTAGCTCATATTGCCTCCAGGTTTGAAACCAGTGTACCCAGAAGAAATTTACAAAGGGACAGCGATGTTGAAATATTTTAAGTGCAAACAGGAGGACGCCTGTGTGCTGACAAGGACAAGGCTATGTTGTCTAAAGTCCTTGTTTGATCCTCATGTTTCCATCCCTTCCCGGTGGCTTTTTCTCTTCGAACCTTCAGCAGTCTTGTGCCTGAGCGGTCCAGCTCGCTGTTTGTTAAATGATGAAATATGTGTATGTAAAACCTCTTACTTTATCCCGTGAGGAGGTCACTTTAATATAGTTTAAATTCCCTGGGTAGTTGGTGCTGCTGCTACTGACCAGGTGGCAAAACTCAAAGTTTAGAGCACCAGGAAGAGAACTGTAATGCTCACATTCTAAGTAGAGAGGGGATTTGGGGCCACCGCATCCTACCTTTTGCTTCCCACGGTCCAATATTTTTGATGCATGAGCTTTTGGCTGCTTACATTTTATTGCTTTCTAGTGGGAACTGGTTCCTCCACCCATTCTCACTGTCTGTGATCTCAGTTCCCCACTCTTCTTGCAGCCTGAGGTCTGAGAGTGGGAGAGAAGGAAGAGAGAGGCGCTGTCAGGTAGAGCATGAACTGGCTACAGATGTAACCCAGTTCACTTCTTTTCTTGGTCAAAGCAAAAAAAAAAAAAAAAAAAAAAAAGTGCGGAATCATGTGATCAAGAATGTTGATCAAGTGCACAGGACTGAATAGGTCGAAGTTTAATGTATCTTATGGAAGCTGGACTCGGATAATTTCCCTGTAACGAATCCATCTCTCAAGAGTCTTTTTCCAAAAGCAAAAAACAAAAAATAAAAAAGCGTTGTCTTCTGTAACCTGTCCAGGTACTTTTTAATGTGACCGCCGGTGTCTTAGAGAAGCTGACAGCTTAGGTGCTTTCTATCAGCAGAGAAATGTGGGCTCGAAAGCTTTTCCCCTAAACGAACGTGTTGTGTAACGTCCACGCTGACTCAGAATACAGGTGCGTGCTCTTGCTCTGAGAAGGTAGAAGAAGGGGGAGAGCCCAGCCCAGACAAGGTGTGGGGGAGGAAAGGCAGCACCCAGTGGCAAAGGCCACCCTGTGCCGCAGCCTTAGCCGAAACCGCATCTCTGGGAAAGGGCTCCTTGCTGCCTGTTTGGATCCCTGAGTCACCACAGACCCCCACCCTCCAACGTGGGATGTTAACCTCGGCCCAATATGGAGATTAGCTGCAGAGCCGAAGCAGAGTCCCAAAGGAGCTTCGGTTCTACAGAAACTGTACAGCCTTCTTCACCGTGCACTGACCAGACGTTGGGGCTCGGGAAATCCGAGCTGAGGACCGGAATTCCTCAAGGTAAGAAGACCCCCCCCCCCCCCCACCCCCTGGAAATGGACTCCTCCAATTTTCTCACATGATTATTCAGGCCCTTTCACTTTTCCATATATAGGAGTCCCTCAGGAGCGAGCTGTGACCAGCCGGAGAGAGTGACACGTCGGTACTCAGGCCCGCCCTCCTCACCATCCTCACCTTCCCCACCTTCCCCTCACGTGCTCACAGGCAGTTCCCCAGAAGCGAGCCCTGTAGCTCTGCCAAAGACAAGCCTGTTGGGTTCCCGGGGGAGGAACAAAAAAAAAAAAAAAGGCAACCGCACAAAACCACTTCAGGCAAAGTCAGCAGCGTTGAAATCGTTACCTTGAAGAAACCCAGTGGAGAAGTGTGCAAAGATGAATGGCCCGGTGGACGGCTTGTGTGACCACTCTCTAAGTGAAGAAGGAGCCTTCATGTTCACCTCGGAGTCTGTAGGAGAGGGACACCCGGGTAAGTAGGTGGCTGTGGACCGAGGACAGCCTGTGCCGGGGGAGCCATTTTCCCCGGGGCCTTAAAACCAATCCGTGTTCGTTACTGTGAGGGGTCTCTGGAGGCACCATAGGAGGCGTCTTTTAATTCTACTGATTTACTAATTTACTAGTTTTGGAAAACAGTCACTGATTAGGAAATGAGAAGTTGTCAGTTAATGAAGCCAAGGGTTCATGCTGCCACCCACAGCCAGCATCTCTGCACGATGAGGCCACTACAGGGAACACGCGTTGGGTTGACTAAACATATTACACGTCTAACATGTATCAGCTTTATATATTGGGGGGCAAGACAAAGCTTTATCATTGAGCGACTTAAACCAGCAGAGAATGTTCCAGTGTTCCCTCCAACAAGACTGTGGTCGCTAAGTGTTGCACGTAAAGCATGTATAGTCTAGGAACGAACAGCACATTCCAGTAGTCGCTGAGACAGATCTCCAGGTCCTGAAAGCCTCAGGTATGTTATCTATGAGAAGTACAGATGACCTCCTGAAGAGGAAGAACATTCGAGTATTTTCTGGTGCTGTGGGGAAATGGGAGAGGCTCGTGTGCGAACGTGAGGACCATGATCAGAGCCTCAGGCTGTAGGTCAGTGGTTCTCAGACATCGGGGAGCATCAGCATCACCTAGTAGGCTTGTTAAGGCAGAGTGCCGGACCCCACCCCCAGACTTTTCTGATTTCACAGATCTTGGGTGAGGCTCAAGGTTTGCATTTTTACTAAGTTCTCAGGAGATGCTTTTGCTGCTGCTGCTGTGGGAACCACACTTTGTGAACCACTGCTCAAGAAGAATCTTGGGGGCTGGGCACACTGACTTATTCTTTATGCACTTTTTCAAAATTCATCTGAGAAGTTAAAGTTTTGGTAACTTATCACCAAGGCTACCTTCTTTTCATCTGCCTCATCCATGTTATTTCCGAGCTTGTAACTCAGCTGTAGACATCTCCTTCCATATGCTTTAGCTGGTGGTTCTCAGCTGGGGGCGGTTTTGCCCCCTTCCCCCAAGAACATTTTGTAATGTCTGAAAACATTTTTGGTTGTCTGTCATAACTCTGCTGTGAGGGGTTGGGGGTGCCACTGGCATTTAGTGGATAGAGGCCACGTGTGCTTCTAAACATCCTGAATGCACAAGACCATCCCCACTGCAGCAAAGAATTTTCTGGCCCCCAATGTCAGTAACAGTTTCTTACCACTGTTAAGAAACCTTGGTTTAAACTCAGTTTTGTATGTGACTTAGCTCAGTTTGAAACAAATAGCCCCTTTCATTGTGTGTAACTTTATAAAGTCTCCGGGTGCTTGGGCACGCAGTGGCCAGAGGTCCCATAGTACACACCGCGGTGTGCTCAGTGGACAGAAGAAAAATTCTAGCCAATCAAATGGCCGTGTTGTCTATTTAATGATAGGTCTGTCTGACTCTCCTTTTGGTTGCCACAATCAATTAACTGTCCACGTAAGTCAGCTTCCTCTAAGCTTGAGGACTTGTTGCTTGTCATTCCAGTGCTGAATTCTTCCACCAGCAGGATAAAATGAATGCTTTTTCAACTTCCAAGAAAACCACCTATGAGCTATCTTATAGCCACTGAGTGATACTAATAGAAATTTTGAAAGCCTAAAGAAACAGTTCAGAAAGAGCCTCCTTACACGTTATTTCAGTCTGCGGAGCTGTCTCAACACCCTTGCTCATCTCGGCTTTATCCCTAATACCCCTTATCCCAGTCCCCCGTCTGGACTGGGGACATGTGACCTGCGTCCTTGAAACAAGCAGAGTCATCTGCGGTCAGCATGTGAGTAACCCTAGGAGTCCTGATGGAGATATTTTAGTAGCAGACTTTCATTGGTAGGGGTGTGCAGAGGCCGTGGCATCAGACAAACCTGGATTTACAGCAGGGATCTGCCACTGGAGTGGGGTGCCTAGAAAGCCTGAAAGTTTAGTGGCAGTTTCTCAAGGAAAGATTAGAGAATTCACCTTTAATGGCAGATTAACATTTTAAGTTACATTGACGTGAATGTTTTAAATGATGCGCTTAGGACAGCAGAGCACTTAATTCTGGATCTAGATTCTTCATATAAAAACCAAAAAACAAAAACAAAATAGGAGGACACAAGGAAACTTTTGGAGGTGACAGATATGTTTCTTACCTTGTTTATGGTGATGATAATGTAAGAGTACTCACATGTCCAAACTCCTCAAATTATATACTTTAGTTTTATGCAGATAAGTTTTGTACACCAATTATACCTCAATAAAACTGGGAAAAACTGTATTAATTTATTAAGAGCCAACTCTGGAGACGCCTGGGTGGCTCAGTTGGTTGAGTGTCTAACTTTGGCTCAGGTCATGATCTCATGGTTTGTGGGTTCGAGCCCCGTGCACTCTGTCAGTGCAGAGCCTGCTTGGGATTCTCTCTCTCCCTCTCTCTCTCTCTCTCTCTCAGCCTCTAGCTTGCTCTCTCTCTCAAAAATAAGTAAATAAACATTAAAAAAGTCAACTCTGCGGGTATTTTGAACATTAAATGAGATGTAATATGTATAAATAGGTGTCGCTTTTATTTCTCAATCTGTGAACATTGACTGTTTGCACAACCCCAAAGCAAGAGCGGACTTTTCCAGAGTGCCACTGAGGGGTCTGCATGCTCAACCATGTGGAATTCTTAAGGCAAGTAGTGGAAAAATAAGGTCAAATCCCTGCTTCTGTTGAGCTGTGGTCAGCCCCACCTTGACTGAGGTCAAACCCAGCTAGAACATCTAGCCTTCAGGGGGCTGAGTGGCAGTGGGGATGATCTGAGAGCTGCCTGTGGAAATGTTCAGTAGAACAGCAATGATGTGTAGAGGTTCTCTTATGGAATTTCTACAGCTGGGGTGGTGGATTCGGGCTTGGTGTTGTGTACACAGTATATTTCAGCTCATGGAACCTGCCGAGAAATGTATCTGTTTGTCCCATCTGATTTTACGTGTTGGCACCTAATCTTACTGACATCATTAGCTATTTTAACTTCTTTTTTTTTTTGTAATTATACATTTTAATGATCATATCCACTTGTTAAATATTTTGATATCTATATCTATCTATATATGTATATATATACATATTAATGTTTATTTATTTTTGAGAGAGAGAGAGTATGGGAGTCAGGGGTGGGGCAGAGAGAGAGGGAGACAGAGGATCTGAAGCAGGCTCCTCACTGACAGCAGAGAGCCCAATGTGGGGCTAGAACTCAGGAACCACAGGATCATGACCTGAGCTGAAGTCAGACACTCAACCACTGAGCCACCCAGTCGCCCCAGCTATTTAACTTCTATTTCTAGGAGCTTTCTAGATTTTAGACTTAAAGGGAATATCTTAAAGAATGAGAGACTTTTTAAGTAGGAGAATGTGTGTGTGTGTGTGTGTGTGTGTGTGTGCACGCGCGCGCGTGTGTGTGTGTCTGTGTAAATTGCTATAGTCTTTTAGAACTGATTTTGGAACGTATGTCTTTTTGGGGGGAATGCTACGACTTCATGTAATATACATCATCCAAAATTAGGCAGAAATGGGATGAAATAAAAATTTCAAAATTTCCTAATTATGTATATTTAAAGAAGTGTCCTCTTTGGTAGATAGATTTCATATGTAAGCTTACCAAATACCTGATTATTTTGATCCTTCAGTCTGTTAGACCCACTATCTCTGTGATTCTTGTACACGTTCCTTCTCCTCCAGACAAGATCTGCGACCAGATCAGTGATGCCGTGCTGGATGCCCATCTGAGGCAGGACCCCAATGCCAAGGTGGCCTGTGGTAAGAGATGTCTACTCCCTGCTAAAGACCTCAGTGGGCTGGGCTCGAGGTCTTTGCCTGTGCTGAGGCCCTGGGAACAACAGAGAGCCAGGGGCTCCAGTGCCTGGAGGACCCCCGAGGTGATCACGGTTGCAGCTGAATCAGGGCCTTGGCCAAGGTCATGGGGCAGGGGTGCCCAGAAGGGAGACCAGGGCCCCTCTGTCCTCACTGTGTGCTGCACAGACGGCTCCTTCCCTCTCCAGTGCCTCCCTAGCCCCTGCGTTGAGCACCACTGGGACCTGTGCCTTCTGAGGGTACACTTCACCCTGAGATATATCTTTGTGAATGGCCAGTGAGAAGGTTGGCCCGCCCTGATCTCAGGACCTCAGCCTGCGGTGGAATATTAGCAACAAGGGGCGGGAGAGGCCTCCCGGAGGCATGTTGACAGCATTCTTTATGACAGCCACCTGCCACCGTTGTCTCACTTTGAGCCACGCGGCAGTCATAACGTTGTCTTCATGTACAGTTGGGGAAGCCGAATTAGGCTCAATAAGTGGTCCAAGACCACGTGAGAAGGACGGGGTCACTGTGAAAGCGAGGTGTGACCGGGTCTGTCCAAAGCGTAGTTCTCAGGGCAGCATTCACACACGGTCAGCACTTCTACCGGGATTTACTCTGCTTGTTAGCATTGTTCCCTCATTTTCGGCACCCATGCCTCGCAAGACTCTTCGTGAGTCCCTTTATCAGCGCTGTGCGGGGGTCCAGGAGTGGCGCTCCCCTCGGCTGGCCCGTGGCCGCTGACCTTGCCCCCTCTCTTGCAGAGACGGTGTGTAAGACGGGCATGGTGCTACTCTGCGGAGAGATCACCTCCACGGCCACAGTGGACTACCAGCGGGTGGTGAGAAGCACGATCAGGCACATCGGCTACGACGACTCCGCCAAGGGTGAGGCGGGCCCCCGGGTCTGAAATGTGTGGGCGCCCCCGCCGCCGTGTCAGGTCCGAGGCTCTCTGTCCTCTGCCAGTGCAGATACCAACTGGGAGAAAAGAACATTCCTTGGCCCGCCTGGCAGGTCAGGAGTCACGGTCTCTGGCGATAGCATGGCGGCCCACGGGATGGCGCCCGGTTGAACTAGCCCATGTCCATCTGTTGTCGCCTCTGGTCTTGGTGCTGGCAAAGGCTTTGGAAGAGAGAAGCACCGAGTAAAGGGAGCCGCCCTCCGCTGGGGAGATGTTCTCTGCCGGGCCTGGGCGCTGGTCCTTTGTATTTGTCCTCTTCATCGTTTGAGGCCCTCTGCCGTACTCCTTGCAGACGAGGCAACTGAGGCTTGGAGTCGTAAATAATTTGCACGAGGTGACAGCCAGTAGTAGGCGGCCCTTTGGAGACTCCTGCACTTGCTGCTTCAAGATGCCACTTCTCGTTCTAGACCAGGAAAAACAAAGTGACTCAGTCCAGAACTGGTACTCGTGGCAGGTGGAAAGAGACAGGCTGGCCGAGGTTGGCCCCAGTGGCAGGCAGTGTGGGAGCTTGTATCCCAGGGAAGGGACCCAGACCCTGGCAGGAATCGAGGAGGAGCGCCGTGATCAAGCCGGGGTGACAGCTGGAAAGAATGGGGGACGGGGGGACTCGCAGCAGAGTCCAACATCTAAGACAGGGCAGGGTGGGGAAGGGTCCGGTTTGGAGAGGCACCAGAGGACAGGGTGCGAGAGTCAGATGCTGAGGGCCTGTGCACACGGACTTGCCACTTATGGGTTCTTGAGGGTGACGTGTGCCACCTCTGTGGGTCGGGGCAGGCTGGAACAATGTGCTGCATGTGTGTGAGTGAGAGTCCCTCGCCACTGAGGGTGCAGACACACAAGCTCCGTGCAGCCACCTTCCGACCCGCCTAGAGTACTCACTCAGCACACGGAAGTGGACACAGAACCAATGAGCACGGGCTCATTCTGCCAGTCGGCGCAGTGTTCTGGAGGAAACACATTGTCCCGGACCAGCAGCTTCCCAACATGTCACCATGCACAGCTACACCTGTTCTACCAGGAAAAGGCGGTTGTTTAAGACGTGTAGACCTTATTCAAGAGCAAGCCTTGTTCTGCACTAGGTGGAAGGGAAACTTCCCAGGAGGCAATGTGTGCTGGCAGGAGAGAGCGAGAGAGAGCCCAGCTCTGCTGCTGGCTGCATCTCGGCACGCCCAGCTTGTCGCTGTGCCTCCACCCAGAGGACCCCACACAGCGACACAGCGCGGTGGCTGCACTAAGAGGGCCCCGGGCTAACCACCCCGCACTGCTCTTGGCTGCACAGTCGCTGCTCCTCTCCCCTTGGTCCCCTGAATTCTGTTTTTCCAAATCGCTTGGAGCCCTTGATGGATTCTCAGGGCTGAGAAGCTTCACTGTCCAGAGAGCAATTAGGGAAAATGCAAAATGTTTAATGCACAATCGGTGAGTCCTTGGCAGGCCTCTAAAGATGGCTCATTGGTGTGTGTGTTCAAAAACATTCGCTGGGCACAGGGACCTGCAGAGGACAAAGGCATCCGGGTGCTTCCGGAGTGGGGGCACTGCCCGGCATTAAATGGCGCAGTATGGGGTGCCCAGCGGCGAGTCGGTGGGAGGGAGGGAGGGGGGAAGGTCCAGGGACGTTTACTGAGAGCTGATCAGATTTGGGCGTGTGGGGATGGGGAGCCGGAGGAAGAGCATTCTAGACAGAGACCTAGCGGAGGTAGGAAAGTGTGCTGCGCGGAAGGCTAGCCCCAAGCGAGCGTGTGTTGGCTGGGGCAGTTCAGCTGGGAGGGGCTGGGTGGACCCGAGGCGTCTCAGTTCTCCTTCACCGGGCAGCAGGCCCCACGTGAAGCATGGACATAAACAACAGCCCGGATCTGGGTCAGTTGGTTGGTTTTAGTAAAGCTCACACTGGCAGCATAGGTAGAATAGACTGGAAAGAGAGTGACGGTTACTCAGCTTGTCACCAATACTTGGCCTGGTAGTAGAGCCTCTGTGAGTTTCAGCCCCTCAGTCACGCAGTGCCCACGGCCGGGCCCAGCAAGGCTCGAGGGCCCACAGGGAGAAGATGGCGCTGTCGGTGCCCAGCGGCCCCTTCTGGGGCTCCGGGGGCAGGGTTGCCACTCGCCAGCAACCCCCCCCTCCCCACGCCAACCAGTTCCGAGCCTGTGGCAGGGAGCCTGGGAAGAACAGCTTCCATGTGTGTGCCTGAACTTTGGGGGTGGGCAGACGTGGCCATGGCCTCCAGAGGTGTGGCTTTTCCATTTGGCTTCAGGCCCTGTGCAGAGCTTGGGATCAGAGGACTCTAGCTCTGGGAGCCTCTCTGGATAGTTCACGTGCACTGTCTTTGTTCAGTGTGTTTCATAACGTGGATTACGCCTGGGCTTCCGAACAGCAGTGCTGGAAGGTGATTTTCAGCCTGGGTCTTGGAACGTGCCTCCAGAAGAGTAAGGGGGCAGGGCCACGAGTCACCCAGCGCAGCCGCAGCCGTTATCTGGTTTTCATCTTGCCGTTCTGTGTAGGATATAGATTTCTAATCTAGGTATAATTTAATGTAGTAAAATGTGCTGTGGAGGATTTTCTTCGACCAGCCTTCCAGATGATAACATGGGATGGACACATGGCCTTCCCCATCCTGGGCCTCAGCTCCGCCCAACAGGTCCCAGACAGATCCCAGCTGGTTAGAGACCGCCCACCCCCCACAAGAAATGCTGTGTCGGGAGCTGAGCGGTCTGCCAGGACGCTGGAAGCCACCCTCTGTCTGACACATGTCCCCACGAAGGCCTGCTTTCCCTCCTGCTTAGGCTTTGACTTCAAGACCTGCAATGTGCTGGTAGCTCTGGAGCAGCAGTCCCCGGATATTGCCCAGTGTGTACATTTGGACAGAAACGAAGAAGACGTCGGGGCCGGAGACCAGGTGACCACACGTGGAGTGCAGGGTCAGGGGTCAGGATAGCATTGTCTGTGTCAGCCCTGGCTCTGACCCGCACTGAGTTGACAGCTGGGAAGTTCATGAGTAATGGATTGGACACGCTGTGGGGTGGGACCCCCCCGATCCTAGCAGGAGCTCCCGGGGGGAGGGGTCCATGCGCCTGGAATAAATTAGGACACCCCTGCTTCAGGGCAGCGACTTGAGGGCACGGCCTGCTTGTGGAAGACTGTGGTCACCGATGCCCAATTTGGGCTTGTTCCCCCCTCCCAGAGCGTTGTCTTGTCTTCCTGTCCACAAGTGCCCCCGCCTCCCCGTGCAGAAGTTATACATGCACAGGGCACCCAATACAGCCACGCTTTAGATGAGAAGATAAAATGCATATTGCTCCGTTGACGCTCTCCTCCAGGGTCTGATGTTCGGCTATGCCACCGACGAGACAGAAGAGTGTATGCCCCTCACTATTATCCTTGCCCACAAACTCAATGCCCGAATGGCGGAACTCAGACGCTCCGGGGTCCTCCCCTGGCTGAGGCCTGACTCCAAGACCCAGGTGAGCCTCCTCCTGCCCCCCTCCCATGGAGCCCCAGACACACACTGGGGACCCAGACACCCCTCTGGGTCCTCTTGGTACTTGTCATTTTTGGCATCAAAATGGTCAGTCCGGGCACTCAAAATATTGTTGGTTGTGAAAAGAACTATTTATCTGAAAACTCTTCAGGTCTACATGTTTTCTCCCCTAATGTTTATTGTGAAAAGTCTCAAAAATACAGAAAAATGGAAAGAACAGTTCTGGATTTTTTTTTTTTTTTTTTTTTTTGCCTTCTTAGCATATGTTGACTCTGGCAATGTGTTTCCCTGGTTCCTGCCACACATTTACTTCTTAATTGGCTTCACACTTTTGGTCACTGCCCGTCCACACCCACAGGTCTCCACACCTTGAGCAAGGTCTGAACGCCGAGTTGACAAGGGCCATCCGTGCCTCGCTGTGGCCCTTTATCACTGTTTCTCGCAAAAAGGCTTTCCCGTTGCTGTTTTGGACTCTCTGTTTCCATGGGCCCTGACCTCTCTGCTCTGGACCGTGGGGAAATCCTCACCGGAGTCCACATGTGAAGGCCGGCAATGATGCAAGTGTTAGCGCATGTGGGTGGAGGCGCCCCGTCCACCTCCCCTCTCCACGTCCCTGCCCCGTGTCACCCTGGCGGCCCTATTGGCCCCTTTCCCGGGGCCTTCTCCCCTGGCTCATCTCCCACCCCCCAACGGGTCCTTGGCACTTTTGCACACCCTATCCCCTTCCACCCATGCTTGCGCCCAATTCCTACTTTGGCACACTCAGCACCCAAAGCTTTCACCTGTAGGGTGTCTGGACCAGCAGCCCTGCTTCTCATTCCCCCTACACACATGTGTGCCGGAGAGCCATCGTGTGCAGCCTCACGGTCACCTCCTCCTCGGCTCCAGGGAGGGCCATGGTGTCCCCCCCCATCCTGCTCAGCACCCCCTCTGTCTCCACCCAGCCTCGCTCCATGTTTTGCCTAGAGAGCACCTCTCCTGCTCCAGCCTGGTTCCCAGGCCACAGCAGGGATCTGCGCCGTGCCCTCCCAAGGACTTTCCCTGCCTGGAAACTCCACTTAACTCCCTTTGGACTTTTAATTTCCTAATACTGGCTCGGAATCCTTTACAGTTTTCTGCTTCCCGCAGGGGGAGAACCCCCCGCTTGTTATGTTGGCATTGAAGCCCCTTATGGTCTTCCAGTTTTACCTTCCTCTACCTCCCCACCCCAATCCTTGCTTAGTCGGAGTTACTTCACTCCCTAGTGCTTTGTGCCTCTGCTCCCGCCCTTCGCCTCTCCTGGGATCTGCTCGGTTCCCTCCTGTCCGTCAGTGGCCAGGAAGCTCCCACCTCCCGTGGTTTCCCCGGTGGCCACCACCAGACGGGGCCTTCTCTTGCCCCCGGACTTGGAATTTGGCGCGTGCGGTTGTATAGCTCAGCATGGCTGACCGTGACCGTGACCGTCCCGTCGCCCCCGTTGCACAGAGGCGCGTCCACCTGACCACAAGTGCGAGGCCACGCGGGGCACAGGTTGCAACTGTCTGAACCCGGGACAAGGACTTGCATGTGTGGCCTACAGCCGACCTTTCCTGGTGTTCTCCACATGCCTCCATCATCAGCATTCCTCGGCTGCTCTTCGAGGTCCCGGGGCGGGAGAGCTCAAATACGAAGACTGCAGTGGTATCAAAGGAACGGGGCGCACGGCGGCTGGCGCGCCCGGCTCCATCGTGCGCCAGAGCTGCGCTGTGTCGGGAGGCGGGAGGCACATCTGCAGAAAACGGAAGCCTAGAACAGAGGCTGGAGGAAGGAGAGCGCTGGGGCTCTCCTTTTCCTTGTGTGGCAGTGAGACCCAGAGGCACCGCGGTGGGGCCGGCTGAATAGGAAGGCCCGTGTCATCCTGCTCAGCAGTGGAGGGGTGGGGGCGGGGGTGTGCTCCTCCGGGGTTTCTCCTCCTGCAGGGATGCATGGAATTCTCTTAATGCTACTTTGGATACCAAAGTCCGCCTCACTCCCCCCTGCCGCGGGGGGGGCCAAGCCCCGGGCATCTCAGGGGCAGGGGTGCGGGTCTGGCCCCACCGCCCGAGGGCCCCTGCACACAGCTGCCTGGAGGTGAGCGGCACCGTGCCAGGACCGGTTTCTAGGCCGGCTCCATGGCCTGTTTGTGAAGGACTCTCATCATCTGACCAGAGTGTTAACTGTGAACAGGACGAGTCTTTCCACCTGAGCAAATTCTGGCTGCTGGTATTGAGAACCGAGCAGCAGTATGGATGGCTATTTTTGTACCTGGTCAGAGTTGTGTTTTCCGTGGTGTGTTCCCCGCCCCCCCCCATCTCGCTGACATGATGAGCGAAGAGGCATGCTCAGAACCCTCGGCTCGGCCACAGCCCTGTGGTTTTGCGTGGAAGGAACGCTGCCTGGGCTCACAGCTGGCAACGGGGGAGCGGAGGAGGCGGGCCTTCTCCCAGGGCCTGATGCTGATGCCGTGGATCTGGTCCCAGAGCCGGTCACAGGGCCTCCCCTCTTGGGGGCCCCCGCCCCCACTCCAGCAGCCTGTCACAGCTGTGTGCACGTAGCCCAGGATTTAAAGGTTGGTCTCGGGACACAGATGTCACTGTGCACCTGCCCCTCGAACGAGGGTCAGACATCACATGGGAAGGGCTCTCTCCCTTCCTTCTTCCGGATCCCACCCTCTTGCTCTTTGAACCAGGCAGGGCACAGAGCGGGAATTTGATGCAGGCCCAGTGTTTGGCGGATATCTGAGGAGTCTCGGGCGGGCAGAGACCCTGCTGCAGGCACGTCCCCGGGGAGGCACTGTTTGCTGTCCCGTGGTCCTCTCAAGGCCCTGGGGTAGGAAGTAAGGCTGCCAGCCAGGGACACCTGGCGTAGCCGCATTCCCACAGGCCCCACACACCCCAGGCCTCCTCTGGGCACTGCTCTTGTGGGTCCACACTGCCCCGGGTGGCACGCGGGCCTGGGGCTCCCATGTGTCCCTCGGGGTCTTGAGTGACAGCCTTCTGCTGGGCAGAGCCCCGGCTACCAGGCCATAGAGCTCCAGGTCAGAGCCCGTCTCTGCTGGCTGTGTGGTCTTGACCGAGGTGTTCATGCTCTGAAGCCCCAGCTCTCCCGTCTTTAACACAGGGCTGCCAGCAGCTTCTCACAGCTTCTGGCGCGGCTTCCCGCATACAGAGCACTGCAGTCCGAGCTGGTTTCCCTCCAGCCTCATCCGCCATCCTCACTGTCCCCTTCCCTTTCGCCCCGCAAGCCCGGGTGCCCAGACCGCAGTCCTCTGTTACCAGTCAGACCAGGCTGTGGCATCGGGTTCTCACACTCACTGACGTGTCACTATAGCACAGGGTCTCTGAGGAAGGATTCTGTCTGTGCTGCTACGGGAACGACACCAGCTTTGGGATCAGGCAGAACCGAGTCTGGCTCTTTGGCTTTCCGCTGACTGCTGTGTAACCTCAGACCAGCTGCTTCGATTCTCCTGGCCTGGTTTTTCTCATTTGTGAAGTGGAGATGATAATGCCTGTCTTGCCGGGATGGCCGAAATGTGAATTGATCATGCGCAGATGGCCCCACCGGGGTAGAAGCGAGCATTAGAACTGCCCCCGTGGCTCGACCTGCAAGGGCACCGCAGGCGGGTTCCTTCCCTCCAATGTGCTCTCAGCTTTTTTTCCTTTCTTTTGCTCAAACACCCGGAGGCTGGCCTTCCCAAGCTCGCTGCTCCATTTCTGCCAGCCTGACTTGAGCCCTTCTCACCCTGTCCCTACAGCAGGCCAGTCCTCTGGCCCCACACACTTCCAGAGCTCCTCCACTGAGGGACTGGGGCAGCCGGCGTGGCTCATGGACACCTGTGCTCCTTGGCAGGAGCCAGGATACCTTGGCTCTGCGCCACGGAGGGTCAGAAAAGGGCTTTGGCCAGGGGGGACTCGTGGCACCCAGAACCCGCTGAGATAGAAGGGGAGGAGGCTAGCTGGGTCACAAATAGAGAGGAAACTCTGCAACCCTGAGTCTCTAGGTGGCACTAATTGTGGCCATAGCTGGGAATAGCTTATGCCTCATGCCCAGTCATCCCCTGGCACTGGGCAGCTACTCAAATACAAGAATGTGTCAGATTAACTTTTCTGGAGGTCCTTGGAGGACAGGAGGCCCCCCCCCCACCTTCGTTTGGATCCTGGGAGCCCCACCTGCCGTCCGAGTGTCTGTGCCTGGCCGCGGTGTGTCCTCAGTTCAGGGCAGGGCCTCACAACATCTCCCCTGCCCTTGTGACCCGACAGGTGACAGTTCAGTACATACAGGACAACGGCGCGGTCATCCCCGTGCGCATCCACACCATCGTCATCTCCGTGCAGCACAATGAAGACATAACGCTGGAGGACATGCGCCAGGCCCTGAAGGAGCAGGTGATCGAGGCCGTGGTGCCAGCCAAATACCTGGACGAAGACACCGTTTACCACCTGCAGCCCAGCGGGCGGTTTGTCATCGGAGGTCCCCAGGTGCGCCCTTGCCTCAGAGCAGATCTCTCCTGATTCGTCTTTGTTACTGGGGTTGCTCACCTCCCTGGGCGCAAAGGAGGAGGTGGCTTTGTGTGACTCAGCCACGTCCGGCCCTGGATACAACATGAGGTCAGCTCATACTCTGTGGGGCCTGCTGTCCGTGTGTCAGTGCAGGAGGAATTGGGGACATGTCCCCAGGACTCTCCCACCTCGTGCAGCCTGGCCCTCCCTCTCCAGACATGTCATACTGCCCCATGCTGCCGCCTTGCCCTGCTGAGATGCCAGCTCACCTTTGCGGATGACTGGCCTTTCCCAGGTGGCATCACTGGGTCTTTGCCACACGTTATGTTCAACTCGTGTTGGGGCAGGTTTTAGGCGGGGACCCCTGCTGTCCCCTTCCTCCTGTACGGCAGGAGAGAGGACGTAGAGATCGGCAGAGCACGTCTGCGAGGCTGCTGACCTCTGCCAGGGGCGCCTCAGAGGGGATGCGTTACTCAGAGCGGAACCCCCGTAACGGGTTCCGTGACCAAATGTAGTGCAGAAACACAGGGGGAAAGAAAGGCAAAGCTTACTGTCATTTCTTGCAGGACTGCAGGACTTCCCAAAGCCTAGATGTGCTAGTGGGAAGTGTGGATCTCTAAGCAAGGGGATAGAGTACGTGGTCTTTCCCCAAAGTACTCGACACGGAGCCCCTGCCCTTTTAAAACATCATTACTGGGACCCCCGGGTGGCTCTGTTGGTTGAGTATCTGACTCTTGATTTCAGCTGAGGTCAAGGCCCCAGGATCATGGGATCGAGCCCTGAGTGAGTCTCCAAGCCTGGGATTCTGTCTCTCCCGGGGCGTGGGTAGCTCAGTCTGTTAAGCATCCGACTTTGGCTTAAGGTCATGACCTGGTGGTTCGTGAGTTCAAGCCCCACATCAGGCTCTCTGCTGTCAGTGTGGAGCCTGCTTTGGATCCTCTGTCCTCCCCTCTCCTCTCTGCTCTCCCCCACTCTCTCTCTCTCTCTCTTTCTGTCTGTCTCTTTGTCTCTTTGTCTCTTTCTCTCTTCTTCTTCTTCTGCCCCTCCCCCCTTCAAAAAAACAAAAAACAAACCATCATTACTGCCCAATGTCGCACAGAGCAGACACTCGAGGAAACGCCAGCCAGGGCCACGGCCCAGGGTGTGTGTGTCGAGGCTCAGGGCCCTCCTGCAGCTCGGATTTGCCCATCACAACTGACTCATAAAAACAGGCTGAAGTAGGAGCTGGCTAGGATTCCAGGGAACCTCTGTCCCCTCGTTTGCACTTTATGATGAGGCTCTGGCAGGTTACCTGGGTGCTGTAATGGGTCAGTGACTGAACTGGGGTGAGAGTGCAAGGTTTCTGTCTGACTCCCAGCTTTGGGGGTGGGGAGTGGGGGGAGGCGGGTCTTTGAAAAGTGCCCACGGGCAGCTTCAGGGCCCCCTTTCCCCGTTAGTACGGTGGCCATCATGGTGCTGCAGCTGCCCGTCTGCCCTGCCCTGTGGGGACCCTGGTTCTCATACCCCCCCCTCCATTTCTTCCTTTCTGTCTGCAGGGGGATGCGGGCGTCACTGGCCGTAAAATTATCGTGGACACCTATGGCGGTTGGGGGGCGCACGGTGGAGGGGCCTTCTCCGGAAAGGACTACACCAAGGTGGACCGCTCGGCAGCTTATGCTGCCCGCTGGGTGGCCAAGTCCCTGGTGAAAGCGGGACTCTGCCGGAGAGTGCTCGTGCAGGTGGGTCAGCCCCAGTCCGACCACCCCACCTCTGCCCCGGCTGAGGCTGTGCTGGCCTGCGGGGGGGGGGGGGCACACTCCTTGCCAAAGGCTGTGACTGTGTGTTGCATGGGGCACCGGGGCATGTACCCTGAAAACCTCAGGGAGGGAAAAAATGTTCAGGGAGAGGGGCACATACTGAATCTGCTCGCTGTGAAGATGGTGGAGATTCCTAGACAGACGAGGTTGGGGAGCAGTTCGGGCCAGGGATGGGTGGTTCCAGCTGCCCCTTTCTGAGGGCATCGGGATCTCTGTGAAGGGCAGACCCCCTGCACAGAGGCTTTTGTCCCTGACCCTCGTCTCTTCTGGAAGGTTTCCTACGCCATCGGTGTGGCTGAGCCACTGTCCATTTCCATCTTCACCTATGGAACCTCTCAGAAGACAGAGAGAGAGCTGCTAGATGTGGTCAACAAGAATTTTGACCTTCGGCCCGGGGTCATCGTCAGGTAAATCACTGCCCCATCGCTGCCAGACGGGCCCTTCCTCCCCCCCTCACCCAGATGTCTGGCTCCTCTGAAAGAGAAAGGGAAAAAAAGGACTTTCAGCCTCCCCGGAGCAGGAGGGCCTCCAAGCTCCTAGCCCAGCTCAATGCACACCCCAAGTGCAAGATGTCTGCTTTTCAGGTTGAAGGGGGTGTCTAAGGTCCCTGCTGGCCCAGAGATGCTGACCATCCAGGGGGGCCATCTTTGAGCAGGTGGGGGGTTGTAGGAAAGTAATCACAAGGCTGAATGCTGAGAATTGAGCTGGCGGGTCTGGTCCCATTGGCCCATGTTTCTGAGGCCACTCTTGCTTTGTGGAGCTTGGCCGTGTGGTTGGTCTGCACCAGGCCAGTAGAATGGAGAGGAGAGAAGAGGAGGAAGGCACAGCAAGGCCAGAGTTCAGATTCTGAGTCCTGGGTGTGTCTGTGTAACCAGGCTGTCCCCGAACCTCTGAGCCTGTTTCCCAGGGGCCAGTGACAGTCACCTCATGAGATGTGGTGTGGCGTAGACAGGAAATGTATGGGAAATTGCTCTGAGCAGTGACAGTCCACACTCTGTTTGTTACTCCTGTGCTCAAAATTCAGAGAAACTCTGCTCCTTTTCCACTGAAAATGACCCTTTCCTCTGCTGACTGTGCAGGGACTTGGATTTGAAGAAGCCCATCTACCAGAAGACAGCGTGCTACGGCCATTTTGGAAGAAACGAGTTCCCATGGGAAATTCCCAAGAAGCTCGTGTTTTAGAGCTGGTGGGCGCAGGGCCTGCCTCGCCCTGAAAGCTTCTGGATTGGCACCTCTTGTCCAGGACCCCAACTCTCAGATGTCCCAGACCCAGGGCCCTGATTGCTCCCCCCCCCGCCACTGCAGGGAGTGCCTTCCCCACCCACTGCCCCCTCCTGGACCAAGCTGCACCCCTAGGGCTAGCCCTGTGCTGTCGTCACTGTGAATGGCAGGGGGCTTGCTGGTGCCTGGGGTCAGACCTCCTCATGGCGGTAGTCACGCTATCCCCCTGCTTTTCCCTCAGACTGAGGCGACGTTAATTTAGTGGAAAAACCACCCCTGTGAAGAGTAAATCCCCCCACGCCTCCCCCATGGCTGGTCCCCTCCTCCCTCACAGATCTCAGGGATCCTGGGTGTGCTGGCTGTGCCCTTCCCATCTGTGGCCTGTGCCCTGAGCCAAGGGCCTTCACGGAGGCATCTCAGGCTAGGCATCCGGCGGGGACAGGAACAGGGGCTGACACCTGCTGAGCAGCTATGGTGTTCGAGGGCCCGAGCCAATTACCGACCTCGTTTCTTCTTCACTGCAACACGGTGAGGTGACACCTCATTCCCACTTTCCATATGGGGAAACTGAGTCGCAGACCGCCTAGGTAACTTTCCCAAGGTCCTACAGCCACATGTGTCAGGACCCACACGTGATCCAGGGGCTTTGACTCGGGAGCCCGTACGCAGCCCCCAACCCTGTTCCCATCTCATGCCGGACGGAGGCTTGAGCAATGACCAGCAGCTCTGTGGCCTCTGTCCTGAAGACCTGAGCTTGCTGCTCACCTCTTGGTGAGCCCTGGGCAGGGATATGCGAAGTCAGGACAGAGAAGCAGCTTGTCCCAGCTCAGGTGGCCAGCCCCTTAGATGGGTCCGGAACCCCGTAGCTTCCAGCCCTTCTCTCTTTGGCCTCTTGGTCTGAATGCTGTTGGAGTAAGTGTGTGAGCCCCTCAGACGCCCCTTCCAGAGAGGCCACTCGTAAGGGCCGAATATCTAATGTTAAGTAGTGACCCAGGTGGCGGAGCTGAACTCCTAGCGGTAGACAAGTTGGCTGAGGTGTGTCATGAGGAGATTCTGCCTTTGCCAGGTGGCTCCCGGGGCACAGCACTCAAGGGGCCTGAGTGGTCCTCGGAAGGTCTTGGAAGGGCTATGGTCTTGGAAGCTGCACGTTCACCTGCCTTTCCGTCCCTGGCCAGCCCTGCCTCCCCCACCTGTCAGCCTGGGCCGCTGACAGCAGTGTCTCTGCCTTCTCCCTAGCTGCCCAGACCACAGGCTCACGTAGGGGCCCCCAAGGGTCCCATAGAGCACTGAGGCTTGGGCTCTGGTCCAGGGTCCATGGCGCTGGTTCTGGCTGAACCAGGCAGCCCAAGAACCCTCATCTGGGGAGCAGACGGCCTGCATCTGGGCTCCAGGCCTGACGCACAAAGACCCCAAGCTTTTCTCCTTACGTCAGGGAAAAGGCAGCTCTTCAGGGGAGAAAAAGAAGGCCGATTTACCACAGAAACCTAGAGCTTGTGTCCGCTCCCAGCAAGTCTCAAGCTCCCTCCAGGAGAGGGAGGCACAAGCTTGCAGGCGGTCAATGCCTCCCACTCAAGCCCTATTCACAGTGAAAATTCAGAATTGCATGGTTGCCCCTCCCCCCCTGGAGATAAAAGATCTTTTTTTGGACATTGTTGATATGAAACTCGAACCTTTATGTGTTAATAGTTCCTGCTGGGACAGTGAATAAACAACTACTCTGTGCTCGGTTTTTGTCTGCAAACCTTCAGACGTACCTCACTAGGAGCATCTCTATCCCCCCAGCATAGAGGTGCCCGCTGCTCTGTGGCCCGGGCCGGGCCCCCCCCCCCCCCACCACTGGAGCCCTCTGTTCCCGTCCGGGTGGGCTTCTCCAGCATGCACTAAGCTTTCCTCATCCACCAGCTACTGTGTTAAGTCACGGCATTTCCCTACTTATTCCTCACCGCACTCCGCTGAGTTTCACGGAGAGAACCTGAGGCCCAGAGGGTTAGGGATGTGACTGAGGGCACCTGTCTGGGAAGTGGCACCCCGGTCTCCTGAGTGTGCTCTCTCCATCACCACGTGCTGCCGCCCAGGGCCTCGTCTGCCCTCCCTGCGTGGGAGTCAGCTGCAGTCCGACCGTCGTGAGGGGGGCACTGGGGCCATCGTTGTTCAATGACTGAATACCGAAGTCAGAGGAAGTGAGACAATGAGGGGTTTGGCCTGCAGAGAGACGAGCCAAGCCTTTAAGTGGGTGTAAATGGGCACATTTCCCTCTCACACGTTGTGTGAGGAGAATTCACAGATGGAATTTTTATTAGAAGACTGTCGGAGCAGAAGGAAGGCCCTGCAAAGGCAGTCCTGAGGGTTGGTGAGAGCAGGGGCGGGACTTCCTGCTCCAAGCAGGCCGCGGGGAAAGGAATCCGCTCTGGAGAGACATGGGGTCCAGGCTGAGGGGACAGCCACGTGAGAAGGCTTTGAGACGGGCTGGTCCCGGGTGCCAGGAAGGGCAGAAGAGCAGCGGAGACCTCGGATGTGGCGGAGAGGAGAAAGTCAAGGCCACTGTCTTGTCTGAGACCGTCTGTGACGTGAGCAGTCACTACACGGGCCGTTCCATGACATATTTTTCCTAGAACATCATCCACATTTTGTCAGAACACAAAAAGGCACGAGAAACATCGGAATGCTTGCCTGAGAGGGGAGGTGGTGAAGGACTGGGCTTTATTGGCACCAGAGGTCGAACAGTGAGAGCAAGGAGAAGCCACTTCTGGGCCACAAAGCCCTCGAGTGTCATAGTGTCGTGGAAACGTGGCAGTGGTGAATTGGGGGTGGGGAGGGGCGGCCAGTGGGTAGAAGGAAGGCAGGACAGTGTAGTGTTCTTGGAAGCCAAGTGAGGATGGTGGGTTTGGGACCAGGGAGGGCTCACCCGTGTGAAACACTGATGGGTTCGATGACAAGAGGCCTGGAGGGTCTGCGGACATCACCCTGTGGAGGTGGGTGGTGGCTGGGAAAAGGAAGGAGAGTCATTAAGAAGATGTAAATATGGCCGTATTCCCCACCTCAATTGTAAGCCTTTGGTACCCCTAATACATTCTGAATAACGTTTAGAGTACTAAGCTGTACTGCCCTACGTGCCTGCCCAGTGTCCGTCTGTCTGCTCTTGTTCTGGACTCCACTCCTCACCACCGCACTCCAGACTCCCTAGCTGGTATGGCTTCCCCAAACAGGCCCAGCTCCTTCTTGCCTCAGGCCCTTTGCACACGTCGTTCTTTTATGATACTCTTCTGTCTTTGAATGGATGCTCCATCTCATCCCGCAGGTTTCAGATGAAACTTCTGTCTTTCTGAAAAGCCCCTTCCTTGATAACCTCCCATCTGTACTCCCATTTTTAGTTTCTTGTTCAGTGTTTAACACAGTGTGCAAATATGTGTTTCCTTCTTTAACCTCCTTGGGGCCCACCCCCCCTCATGACTCCTTCCATACCTACCACCCTTCCTTCTCTTCCCATCGTGGTTCCTCTGAGTCCTTCCCACCTCAAGAAAGACACTCCAGAAAGACACTCTCAGGGCGCCTGGGTGGCTCAGCCAGTTAAACATCCAACCTCGGCTCTGATCATGATCTCATGGTTTGTGAGTTCGAGCCCCGCATTGGGCTCTGTGCTCACGGCTCGGAGCCTGGAGCCTGTTTCGGATTCTGTGTCTCCCTCTCTCTCTGCCCCTCCCCCGCTCATGCTCTGTCTCTTCCTCATAAATAAACATTAAAAAAAAAGACTCTCTCAAACATCCTCCATAAATTATGCCCACCATCTTTACCTGCCGCTGGGCTATGAAAAGCTATGATTCTTTATGCATGTTAGTGCTTGATTGTTCATGCCTGTTGTCCCCATAGGACTCAGAATTGTTGGGGTCTTACCTCGTCCGCTCTGTTTGCCATTTCATACCTGGATCCCGTGCAGGGCTCGGCCCGGGGTGGGTGCTCAATGTGATCATAGCGGAGAATGGATTCTAGATGTGTCCATCGCTCCTGCCCCCTGAGCTCCCCTTAGCAAAGAGGTTTTGTAAGAGATGAGGTTCCTACTTGCCCTCCGGCAGGGTCCGTGCCAGGCTCAGGTGCCCAGAGATAGAAATTACAATCATTCAACAGAATTTTTTCGAAGCATTGCTTATAAGAGTATAGCTCTGTGACTGTGACGACTTCTATAACAGTCACTCGGCATTTTAACATTTTGACACTAGATGTGGACGTGGGATGAAAACAAGATGACAAACCCCATTTCCCACGGAGATGCCAGAGGAAGGTGACATCAGGCGGGAGGCACTCGGGACACTCCTGTGGCAGGTATGGAGGATGGGGAGGAGGGAGCTTGGTCCGAAAGGTGTTTTGGAGTCGACAAAGGATGGAGGAGGGAGGAAATGAGAATTAGAAAGAATTAGCATCTCAGCAGTGGTTGGTTGGGGTGAGAGGCTTGGGGTGGGAACTTTAGAGGAAATTTCTGCCTGTGACAAATTCCCCAGAGTAGGCAGGACCCAGGCATAATGTAAGAAGCAGTGGACATGACAGCCAAGGTATAGAAACAACCTAAGTGTTCATCAACAGACGACTGGATAAAGAAGATGGGGTACAGATGTGCAACGGGAATATTATTGAGCCATGAAAAAGGACATCCTACCATTTGCAACAATTGGGATGAATCTTGAGGGCATTATGCTAAGATAAGCTGGGCAGAGAGAGACAAATGCTCTACAATATCACTTTATGTGGAATCTTAAAAAAACCAAACCCACAGACACGGAACAGTCATTACCAGGGGTTGTGGGGTGAGGGAAAAGGGGAGATCTTAGTCACATGGGACAAACTTCCAGTTAAAAAATGAATAAGTTCCAGGGATCTATTGCGCAGCACGATGGTTATAGCTGGTGATACTGTATCATGGACTTGGAAGTGGCTAAGAGACTAAATCTTAAATGTTGTCAACACAATCACGGAAACAGTAATTATGGATGTGTTAGAGGCGTCAATCATTTTGCAGTACGTAAGTATCAAATCAGCATGTTGCCCCCCTTAAATTTACACAATGATACCTGTCAATTATATCTGAATAAAGCTGGGGGGTGGGGGAAAGGCAGTGTGACAGACACCTGGTCCCTGGGCTGTGAGGTCTTCTGCCTTCTTACCATGACACCTTCATGAGAGAGATTTAGAAGAAATAAGGAAAAGGCCCTGCGTTCCGGGTTTGGTTCATGGAGCCCCAGATGCAGAAAAATGTGAACAATTCGCCATGGGAAACGGGAGACTTCACATTGGACCCATGTGATGTGGCTCTCACAGGACAGTATGAAACTCAGAAGTTGCAAAGGAAATAAACTTGCCAAATCTGATTTCATAAAAATGAAACGTCCGTGCACTGGAGAGAAAACGCAAAGGCAAAAGAAGGGACGAATGAAGAACTGTTTGCAATTTCCATTTAATGGAATCAGATCAATGAGACGCAACAGAATGCCCGGAGTAAATGGAAAAAGTACGAGGACAGGGGTACACGGATGGAAGGAAAGGGATGGGACAAACCGCAGGAAATGAAAACTGCTCAACTACACGTCTCAAGAAACACACACTTTAAGAAATGCAATATTGTATTTTGGCAAACAGATGGCTGAACATTAAAAAGTTCTTAAAATCCAGAGCTGGCAATGAGGTAAGAGAGTGGGCATTCCCAAATACAGGTGACTTGGAATGAACTTTCTGGACGGAACTTTGGTTCTTTATTCTGAAAATTCAGGGGCCGCTGGGTGGCTCAGTCGGTTAAGTGTCCAACTGCGGCTCAGGTCATGACCTCATGGTTCGTGAGTTCAAGTCCCGTGTCGGTCTCTGTGCTGACAGCTCAGAGTGTGGAGCCTGCTTCGGATTCTGTGTCTCCCTCTCTCTCTGCCCCTCCCCCACTCACGCTCTGTCTTTCTGTCTCTCTCTCTCAAAAATAAATAAACATTAAAAAATTTTAAATGTCACGTTTGCCTGGTTTGGGTCAGAGGTTCCATCAAGATAGAGTGGGTCAGGTGTCATGCCCCGGCCTGAGGAGGGCAGGAGGTGAAGCCAGTGTGTGCCGAATCGAGGTAAAGAGGTGGAGGGGAGACTCTTGGGAAAGCCCAGGTCTGTTCTTGGCCACAGAAAAGCGGGGCTCCCCTCCTTTTGCCAAGGTTGAAGGGGCTCCCTCTGGGGTGTTTGCAGGAGCCCCCATAGGATGGCCCTGGGAAGCAGGGGCTACAAGTGCAGAGACAATCATGGCAGCCTGAGAGGCCCATTGGATCCCCAGGTTACAGAGCAGGAAGCTGAGGGCCAGGCAGGCGAGGCCACTTCTGAGGAGCCCCACTCAGGAAAGGGCAGACCCTGTCCCAGGGCAGGACGGGGACCTCAGGCGTGGCCGGCACCATTCCCTTCTACTTCACTGAGGGAAGCAGCTGGATTGAGCCCCACTCGGCACTGGGCCTCACCTGCTGCTCCCGAGGGACGGTTCCCAGGGTTGTGACGATCCCGAGGTCCAGCCTCCCCTTCAGTTATGAGCTGCGCTTGTTCTCCAGCAGCAGGACCAGCCTCAGGACCCCAGCAGAGTGTGAGCAGGGGCGGGGCAGAGAGAGAGGGAGACACAGAATCCGAAGCAGGCTCCAGGCTCCGAGCTGTCAGCACAGAGCCCGATGTGGGGCTCGAACTCACGAACCGCGAGATCATGACCTGAGCCGGGGTCGGACGCCCAACC